AATAAAATAAAATAAAATAAAAAGGAGACTGCTGAGCCAGGGCCAGAGGAGCAAGCCAGTTAGCAGTCTGCTTCCATGGCCAGTGCTGCAGGTCCTCCTTGCAGAATCCTTCCGTGGGTTCCTACCTTGGGCTCCCCGACCATGGGTTGTTCAGGACATGGAAGCCAACGTAACTCTTTCCTCCTCAAGTTGGTGTGGGTGAGAGTAATTTGACACAGCAAGAGAGAAAGAAACTGGAACAGGGCAGCCAACCCTCCGCCCGTCTCCCAGCCCTGGGGGACACTCCCCGCAAAGGGGACCCCAGACCCTGGTGGTCAACCCTGAGAGAGGACAGTGTTCCATGTGAGGGCCTATCCCTTGAGGAAAGGCAGTGCCAGCCCAGTCCCGTGGGGAGTAAGGTGGGAGGGCAAAGCAGTTGCTTGTTGCCAACAGGCCCCATGCAGGTGGATGAGTTGGGGTCCAGGAAGAGATGCAGGCCTTCCCCTAGGAGGCACCCTGAGGTGTGAGAGTTTAGGCCCATCTTACCCACCAACTGGGAAGCCTAAAGGAGGTGGAAGTAAAAGGGAAGCAATGACAACTCCCCAGGAAAAGACAGAGAGAGGCAGACAAGGAGACAGAGGAAGAGAAACAGTGGGGTGGTGGGGATTGGGGTGTGTGTGCGGGGAGGCAGCCTGGGCCCAGTTGCCCTGGCTGCTGAGGATGCGGAGAGGAGGTAGGTGCCTGTGAACTGAAGGCTGGCGATGAGGTCACAAAGCCCTCGCTCCGCCCCACCGGCCGGCCGTGGAGGCCTGTGGACTTTGCTGCGCTGTGCGGCACTGGGGGTGCGGAGAGGGGGGAGGGGCGGTGGGGTGGCCAGGGCGGGGAGACTCCTGTGTCGGACGGGGCCGGGCAGAGGCACTGGCCGGCCGTAGGGCAGCAGGGCGTGGGTGCCCCGCCAGTCGTTGGCGGCGCTAGGATTTGACACAGGTCAGAAGCTCGGAGAATGGAGGTGCAGTGCCTAGCAGGCCTCCGGTAAGGCTCCCGAAGCGGTCCGATTTGGGAAGCCAAGCAGGCTAGGGCCTGTGGCCCTTGCAATGTGTCCCTCCGGGCCTCGTTCCGCCTCCGCCGCCGCCGCCGCCGCAGCCGCCGCCCTGCAGGCTCTTGGGGCCGCTAGGAGCGGGGCCAGGTGTCTACGGCCATACCACCCTGAACGCGCCCGATCTCGTCTGATCTCGGAAGCTAAGCAGGGTCGGGCCTGGTTAGTACTTGGATGGGAGACCGCCTGGGAATACCGGGTGCTGTAGGCTTTTGCGCCTCGCACCCGATCTCTCCCTTTTGCACCCTGCCTGGTCAGCGCCCCAAGATACAACTGCACTCCCCTCCGTCCCCACACAAGATCCCCTCACCCTCTTCAGCTCGCCTCCTCTGCACTGGGCTCGGCCGCTCCCCCCACCCTCACTTCTCCTCCTGCCCAACTCACACACACTTAAGAGCTCAGGACACCGCTGTCCTCTTCGCCCACAGACTGCTGGGTGCCCTGCAGCCTAGGGTCTGTGCGGGTAGGGGAGGCCCGCCGCCCCCTGAAGCCCTTATGTCAGGGACCCAGGGGCCGTGGGTAACTGCGGGCCGGGCGGCTCATGGGGCGGATCGTCCAAAATGCCCAGGCAGTGCCTGCCTCCGTGCTTCCTTGGGTGAGGTGTGAGGTCTGGGAGCGGGAAGGGGGCGCAGGGTCTTCTTGACAGCGCCTGGCTGACTCCCACTCCGGCCCGGCAGGCCCGGGCCCCTCTCCTCTTCTGAGGTCAGACCAGCACCATTCTCCCAGACCCATCCAAAGCCCGCTACTGTTTCCCTCTCTAGCTGCACCCTGACCCCAGCCCGTCCTCATCTCAGCGACCGGGGGACGGGCGGGACTCATTCCTGTCCGCCTGTGCCCTGGGGACCGGCAGGGGCCCAGCAGCAGACCTATCACATGGGACCAGCTGTTCAGCACCCACCGGGAGCTGTCCATCCCAACCCCGCGGGCTCTCGCGGCCTGGGGATTGGGGAGGGGGTGGGGGCTGGATATCCGGTAGGGAGCAGGAGGATTTGTTCCTGAGCCCAAAGGGTGGCGGACCCTGCCAACATGACACCTGGGCTGGAGCCTGGCACTTGCCGCCCCACACCCACCCACCTCCAGGACAGATCCCTCAGCGACCCCAGGCCACAACTGCTGCCCTAGAGGAAAGGGAGTGTTGAGTTTCTCCTGGCTCCCCTAGAAAGGAATGTCCAGGGGCAGGGAGCAGTGTGAAGGCACAGAGGACACACTGGCGGCTGGCCTAGTGCAGGTGGCAGGCAGGTGGGGATGCATGCCCCTTGCTCCTTCCTCCTGGGCAGCTCAGGGGTCTGCATGGGCCAGGGACTGTGGGCTGGTCGGCCTGCTGGCTCCCTAGATGGGATGAGGGGACAGGAAGGAGGCTTCCACCCAGCCCTACACAGGTGTCCTGGGAGAGTCAGGCTGAGGAAAAAGTTGTCCACTGTAGAGGAGGAGGAGGAGGAGGCGGAGGAGGAGGAAGAGGAGGAGGAGGTCTCTCTGGATGGTGATTGTTGCGTGGGCACGAGGAGAGTGGGGCCTGTTCTGGATCACATCAGTGTCAGCTTGACACTCCTGAGTTCCTGGAGCCTCAGTTGGGTAACAGCTTCCATCGGACTGGCCTTTGGCAACGTCTTTCGGGCATCTTCTTGACTGAGTGATGTGGGAGGGTACAGCTCCTGTGGGTAGTGCCAACCCCCGGGAAAGTCCGCCTACGCGGTCTAAGAAAATGGATTGATGTCGACCGCAAAGCAGACACCCTACAGCGAAGTTCATGGGAACTGGCTCGTTCCTGCCTATGTTGAATAAGCTTCTTCCTACCAGAGCATTTCAGTTTCCTTGGCAGCCAGACAATCATGGACTCTAACAGAAACTGCCCTTAAAAGAAAACTGGAAGTATCTTTTTAATTAATAGTCTTTACTCTTGCTCATGAATTCTTACCGAGCACGTTTTGAAATGCAGAAATGGATTTTCTGTTCTAATTATCCAGATACACCTTTGTAAAATGGAGATTTCAGCAATTCAGTGATAAGGCTGTACGTTTCTGGAAGAAAACATTGGTCGTCGCAAATCTTTCTGTTTTCTGGCTTTGGGAAAATAGAGAATAAGAGTTAGAATGCTGAAAGGCTGAAAAGGAAAGGCAAAAAAAAAAAGAGAATAATGAACAACAAATAAAATAAAATAATAACATAAATAAAATAAAATAA